AGAAACCACACAGTTAGGAAATTATGTATCAGTATTTTCTTTGAGCTCCCGTTTCCACTTTGAAATCCATAGGTGATACTCTGTAACGAGAGTGGCTGCAATTTATCTAAAAGGGTACACTCAAGAAATGGGAATACCATTCTGATAGATTCCGATTCAGATTTTGGCATAAAAATGCCTAATCCGAACAGGTTCATCGTATCCGCAGAATGTCCCCTGTGACCCTCCCCCTCGGACCGCGCTTGGGTCCTGAGCTCTTCGCGAAGTAGCATGAGTGTGTAGTCACGTTCTTCGGACTGCGATCGATTTCGACGATAACTTGGTCAAAGTTACTTCGCGAGTAGTGTAGAGGAGGCATTACACTGCCTCTACACAGTATACTTTAGCAAAATTTATGGGCACTGTTATTCTTATAGACGAATTACAACGTGCTATCTTTACTGCTTTTTATATTCTACTAGCTAGTACCAGGTGTGTTGCTGGCGCAGAAGAAATAATTGTAGAAATATCGTTTTATATTTGGAAGAGTTATATTATTGATTCATTAGGAATGATAACACATTCATTGAATTTAAAATTGAATGATATAACTTTCATATAAATTAGACATGAGTGTAAATCGTGAATGATTCGTTAATTTGATCTAGGTCGTATCAATGTATTGATGATTGCAATTACATTTTTTGAACGTTTCTGATCAAACGATTGAAAGGAACTACGATCCAGAGTTAGTAATGTCCGACGACCGACATTATCGAGCGGGTCTCACAGATCACAGAGTACTGAAACTCGAAATAATCCATTTTAATGATGGACCCGAATTACACGGTTTGTTCGACGAATCAATACTTGAATGATCAGGTCACTAGAAATGAATGAATGTCATCATCATCATCATTACAACGGTGGTAGAGCCTTGCAGCAGCTTTTGCTGTTGCACGTATGGGCCGGCTCGAGCCGGGTTAGTACCACGAACTCACAGAATACCGGCGTGAAGTGGAAGCTCTGCTTCCGCGTTTCGTCTGGTGAGTGCAGGTGACCGGATGCCCAATTCCCCCCCCCCCCCCCCCCCCATCAACATGGTAGCGGAATTACGTCATAAACTACCCCAGGAGGGTACCAGTACCCCTGGAGAATCCCTCGCTGAGCATCCACGACCATGCTATTCCACTCCTGAGCGTGGGTGCTCAGGCTGCCCCGCGTATTCTGGGGGGGGGGGGGGGGGCAAAATTCCGCTCAACACAATAACTGCTCGGGGCAAACTGAGCAACAAGACCAAGGCGACCCCTGCCACGCTATCCGTGAATTTCTGCAACATCAGGGGACTTCACTCGAACCTAAACGCCGTCCACTACCATCTTGAGACGGCGAAGCCGGCCTTGCTCTTTCTGACCGAGACGCAGGTGTCCTCTCCGGCTGATACTTCGTATCTCTCCTACCCGGGGTACAAATTGGAGCACTCCTTTGTGCCTCGGGCTGGAGTTTGCGTGTATGTCAGAGAGGACATCTGTTCTCGACGCCTCGGCAGTCTTGAAGGTTCGGACCTGTCCATCCTTTGGCTACGCGTAGACAGCGACGACCATCCGCGCGTCTACGTGTGCCTCTATAGGTCCCATAGCGGTAATGCCGAAACAGACCGACTCATCGACCACGTCCAAATGGCTACAGATTCCTTGCTACAACAGGTCCCATCCGCAGAGATCGTGATCCTTGGCGATTTTAACGCCCACCACGCCGAATGGCTCGGTTCACGTTTAACCGATCATGCGGGGAGATCTGTTTATGACTTTGCCTTGGCATATGGTCTGACACAACTGGTTACATCGCCTACGCGGATTCCAGATGTTGAGGATCATACACCTTCCCTGTTGGACCTTCTGCTGACCTCTCATCCGGACGGATATCAGGTTTCCGTCGATGCCCCTCTTGGCTCTTCGGACCATTGTCTGATCCGGAGTGTGGTGCCACTCACGCTCCCCTCGCGGTTGCGTTCTGCAGGTTGCCGTCGTGTTTGGCATTACAGGTCGGCGGATTGGGACGGAATGCGGTCTTTCTTTGCTTCCTACCCATGGGGGCGGGTTTGCTTCTCGCCGGATGATCCCAGCGCCGTTGCTGACTCTGTCACTGATGTAGTGCTACAGGGAATGGAACTATTTATTCCATCATCTGTGGTACCCATCGGAGGCAGATCTCAGCCTTGGTTTGGTCGCTCCTGTAAGACTGCATTACGCAGTAAGCAGGAGTGTTATCAAGCCTGGGCTGCGGCTTCGGTGACTCGGGATATAAACACCAGCACACTCAAAAAGAAGTATAACTTCGCCTCCAGGTCCTTCAAAAGAGTTATTGCCAAGGCAAAGTCAGAGCACATAGGCAGAATTGGCGAGAAACTAGTTCGCCTTCCTTCGGGAACCCGTGCATTCTGGTCTCTCGCCAAGGCTGTCCAAGGGAATTTCTGTAAGCCATCACTACCATCTCTGCACAGGGAGGACGACTCACTGGCCCACGACGCAAAAGAGAAGGCCGACCTTTTAGGCTCCCTTTTTGCGTCCAACTCGACTGTTGATGACGGGGGGAACACACCGCCGACCATCCCGCGGTGTGAGTGCTCCATGCCGGATGTGCGAATCTCACAGCGCTCGGTTCGCAGAGCACTCCTCTCCCTTGACATCCACAAGTCGAGTGGGCCTGACGGAATCCCCCCAATTGTGCTGAGGACGTGTGCTCCGGAGTTGGCACCGGTTCTAACGCGTCTTTTCCGGTACTCCTACTCCCTAGGCGTAGTCCCGAAATCATGGAAGACAGCTTTTGTCCACCCGATCCCTAAAAAAGGCGACCGCTCAGATCCGTCCAACTACAGGCCTATCGCCATCACCCCCTTGTTCTCCAAAATAATGGAATCCGTTGTAAACTGCCACCTCATGCGGTACCTTGAGGATCACCAGCTGATTAGTGACCGCCAGTACGGTTTTCGTCGGGGTCGATCAGCTGGTGATCTTCTGGTCTACTTAACTCATAGATGGGCGTTGGCAGTAGAGTCCAAGGGGGAGGCATTGGCCGTTAGTTTGGACATTGCGAAGGCCTTCGATCGGGTTTGGCACAAAGCGCTTCTTTCGAAGCTCCCTTTCTATGGGCTTCCCGAGAAATTATGCAATTGGATCACCAGCTTTCTTGCAGATCGGAGCATCAAGGTCGTTGTAGACGGTGCATGCTCCGACTACAAGCCTATTAACGCTGGTGTTCCACAAGGCTGCGTGCTATCACCAACGCTGTTTCTTCTGCATATCAATGATATGTTGCAAGCTGGTAGCATTCATTGTTATGCGGATGACAGCACTGGTGATGCTCTATACACCGGCCGTGCCAATATTTCTCGGGAAAACGTCACCGAGTACCGGAACAAACTTGTGTCTGAAGTCGAGTCTTTGCTGGACAAAGTCTCGGATTGGGGGCGACTAAATCTAGTCCAGTTTAATCCTCAGAAGACACAAGTTTGCGCGTTTACCGCTAAAAAGAACCCCTTTGTCGTATCTCCTCAGTTTCAAGGTACTCCCCTTGTTGCCTCAGCCAGTATCGGAATCCTCGGCGTCGACATATCGAGTAGCGTGCAGTTTCGTGGTCACTTGGAAGAGAAGGCCAAATTGGCCTCTAAAAAGCTTGGCGTGCTCAGCAGAGCGGGACAGTATTTCATGCCGGCTCAACGCCTGCAACTTTACAAGGCGCAGGTTCGGCCTCACATGGAATACTGTTCCCATCTCTGGGCTGGGGCTCCCCAGAGCCAGCTTTTTCCACTTGACCGCATCCAGCGCAGAGCGGCTCGAATCGTCGACGACCGAGTCCTTTCCGATCGGCTCGACTCATTGGCACTGCGAAGAGATGTTGCATCTCTTAGCATTTTCTTTCGCATTTACCATGGGGAGTGCAGTGAGGAATTGTTCGGATTAATCCCAGCCGCCAAATTTCACGAACGCACATCGCGGCAGAACTCCCGATACCATCCACACCATCTGGATGATTGGCGGTCCACCACTGTGCGATTTAGAAGATGTTTTCTTCCTCGCACAACTTCCTTGTGGAATAGTTTACCACCAGCGATTTTTCCGGACCGATACGACTTAGGGACCTTCAAGAAAAGAGCCTACTCCTTTTTAAAAGGCCGGCAACGCATCTGCAATTCCCCTGGTGTTGCGGTTGTTCATGGGCGGCGGTAGTCACTTACCATCAGGTGAGCCGCATGCTCGTTTGCCCCCTCACCTATAAAAAAAAAAATTACAGCCCTTCACAAGTCCACTGCTGAACATAAGCCTCCCCCAAAGAATGACACAAAGCACGGTCCTGAGCCACCTGCATCCATCGACTTCCTGCATGTCTTACCAGGTCGTCACTCCATCTCGTGGGGGGACGCCCTACACTTCGCCTACCGGTACGAGGCCGCCACTCGAGAACCTTTCTTCCCCATCGGTTGTCGGTTCTTCGAGCTATATGGCCGGCCCACTGCCACTTCAGCTTACTAATCCGTTGGGCTATGTCGGTTACTCTGGTTCTACTGCGGATATCCTCATTCCTAAGTTTATCACGCAGAGAAACTCCGAGCATAGCCCTCTCCATAGCTCGCTGAGCGACCTTGAGCTTTCTCATCCGGCCAGCAGTGAAGGACCACGTCTCAGTTCCGTAAGTAATCACTGGCAACACGCACTGGTTGTACAATTTCATTCATACCCCCCTATGAATGAATGTCACATGTCTAATATAAATTTGTCGGTACGATACGCGTGCTACCTACGTTAAGTAAATTGTACTATATCTACGTACAAGCAATAAGTTGTTTTCGTTTTAGTGCAATCTAATTAACCGTATGGCAGCGCATAAAATAGGAACAAATCGAACATAATTTTTTATATATTAGATGAAGATTAACACAATATACTTCAATAAAATCACACTTTTATATAATTATTTATATTTGGAATGTATTCTAGTATTATAGATTTGTAAACATTGTTTCAAGATAAATCTTTTACCTTCCTACCCTTAACATACACTTGACGAATATTTCTATCATCACCTAAATAAATAAAACGTTGAAGGAGATCCAATAAATAATGTTCTTCATTTTCATCCATAGAGTATTCATACTGATCAATTTGTCCGCCATTCGTATACACGTCAACTATCAATGCGTCGAATTCTTTGCCAATTTCAAAGCTACCGATCTTGTCGTCTAGGCGTAACGCTGTAAAAAAAGCGGTGGTTATAACCATGTATAAATAAAGCAATAAAACTAACACATATTATACAAAAAGACGTGATTCGATATTAAAAATATTAAACTTGCATAATATTGTAAATTTTCGAGAGCAGTGTTGTCGTGTTTCTCAAACTTTACGAAATTTTCATTAAAAAGTTTCTCATATTGTACTAAGCATGTTATAATTTAGTATGCAAAAACTTAACTAGAGGTAGGACTCCCCCTCCTGTCTAGAAGCCCGTCTAAGTAGGTGCCACCCGCTTACCACCTTTTCGTTTGTAACTTCATTTAAAAAAAAATCTTAACAATCCTTTCAATCAAATTTTCCAATCAAAAAAAATTTTAAAAGTTGCTATTTCAACATCGTTCCGGATTAATTATTAAGACATTAAATTGATTTTTGTTTTGTCTCGTCAAAGTAAATTAAAAAAAAGCAATTTTTATTTGAATAAAGTACTCGGCTCTGAAATTTTAAATTATATAATATTAATACCTTTGGCGCCGCCTAATGTGGCGAGATAGAACACTTCCTTAAAGTTCAATGCGGGTCCCATGTTTTCAAGAAGCTCGAGATGAGTGGAGACATCCATGGTACGACGCATCGCATCCAAAATAGTAGCACTGTCACCCCCCGACACATCTGTTTGAAAATTAGTTCAAATTATTATACTTGGTTATAATCTTTATTTTTATTCTCTAAGTGTATTAAAAGGATCCGTTAGCTGAAGTGGCAGTGGGCTGGTCATATAGATCGAAGAACCGACAACCGATGGGGAAGAAAGGTTCTCGAGTGGCAACCTCGTATCGGTAAGCGAAATGTAGGACGACCCTCATTAGATGGAGTGACGACCTGGTAAGACATGCAGGAAGTCGATGGATGCAGGTGGCTCAGGACTGTGCTTTGTGGCATCCCTTGGGGGATGCCTATGCTCAGCAGTGGACTTGTGAATGGCTGTAATAATATCTTAAAAGACGAAAGCGATCTCTTTCATATTATGATTTTACGTGTCTTATCTTCAATTTCCCTATACACAGTGTGCGTGCGTGCAGTGCCGGATTAAGATAAATTATTAAGAATAACTCAATATAAATTATTAAGAATAACTCAATATAAATTATTAAGAATAACTCAAAAACTATTGATTAGACCTTTATCAAATTTATATAGGACCACATGAGGAGCACCAGCTTTCAAATAAAAAAAGTCATCGAAAACGGTTGAAAAAAGTTATGAGGTAACGAACATTAAAAAAAACATCAGTCGAATGGAGTACTCGTACCTTTTTGAGGTCGATAGAAAAGTGGTAAAAAAATAATTCAATACTCAATACGTTTATTTGCCATATATTTGTTACAATTTTGTTGGTGTTTAATAGTACAGTAGATTACTATAGGCCCTGTTAGAATCTGACAAGTACAAAAATCCAGAAATGAGATTGTCCCGGCTATTTAGAATAATTTTCATAAGAAATAACAATTTAAAACTGACGATACTACACATAATTGTAAATCTTTTTAGCACATGTTTCAAAGTTTCCTACTGTTCATCGCACCAGCCACATCCGTTTTGAATAGCTCGACAAACTGCACTGATTCGCCGTCTAGGCTGTCTTCCAAATCATTCACATAAGCACTGAACTTAATAATTTTTTTCATAATCTCTACTACTGTAATAGATTTTAACTGTTGAAATATTTCAAAAACACTAGTTAATTCGATGACGATTTCTCCTCTGTCAAAATTGCTCGGCCATTTATCAATATCATTGCAGTATATTGGAACGAAGTTCCTTATCGGACGGTACAAATTTGGCGGAAGGGGCCTAGGCGAGAAGATTTTTCCGTTAGGAACCCTTCTGACGTAGCCGTCTTTGAAGGCTATAAGGACGCGAGATGGAATAATATCCATCTCCCTCGTACTTTTTTTCTTATCTTGCCATGAAAGAAATATTATTTTATTTTAAATGACGCTTCATTTTAATAGACACTAGTAATTTATTTATTTGTATTTGTTAATCAACAATATAATACGTTTATCAATAATAATATACTACGAATGGAATTTCGTTCCAACCGAGTGTTCCACGACACTCACACATGTTTTTTTTACTTTCATTTTGTTTTTTTGCTAGAAGAAACAGGGTCATTGTAGAAGCGTGCTCTTCGCGACCCCTGCCAGCCCTTTTCAGGGCTGCAATTCTACTCAGCTGCGCACCCATACCAACGAGGGTTAGGGCGTCCCCCCAAGGCGACGCACACCAGCTCGTCCCCGTTGGTGTGGAATGCAGCGCGCAAAGCGGCGATGGGGACCGCCACTCGTCACGCACAGCCCGACACGGCGGAAGGTGGAGGACAGAGTGCAGAGTTGGCACGTGGAATGTTAGAGGAGGCATGAGAGATAAGATGAATGAGTTGATCGAAATAATGAAAGAAAGAGAATTAGATGTCGTGTGTATGTCGGAGACCAAACGGAAGGGCAGTGGTACTGAAGAGCTCCCTGGCGGGGCGTTAGCTCTATGGTCCGGAGTCCCGGAGAGTGAGAACGCCTGCCAGGGAGTGGGGGTGCTGCTGTCTTCTCGGTTGGTCGATGTTATGACTGAATATAAGGTTGTGAACTCAAGACTTCTCTGGGTTCGCTTTAAATTGGGACTGACGAAGTTATTCCTTTTGGCTGTTTATGCGCCGGTAGCTTCGTCGTCCAGGGCTGAGCTGGAGGAGTTTTGGGAGAATGTAAGAGAAGTTCTAGATTTGGCTAGGGGAAATGAAAGAATTGTTGTATGTGGTGATTTGAATGGATGGGTTGGTACCGCTCGACCAGGATACGAGTCGGTATTTGGAAAGTTTGGCGATAAAAGGGTTAATGATGCTGGCAAGCTTATACTGGCGGTATGCAAGGAAAAGGGTCTTCTTGTGACAAACACTATGTTTAATCACAAGAAAATCCATATGCATACTAGAGAACGAAAGAATGAGAGAAGTATGATCGATTTGTTCCTGGTGGATGACCGACTGCGAAAACAGGTGATGGATACGCGAGTGTTCAGGGGTGCTGACCTGGGAACGGATCACTATCTAGTGATTACTAGATTTAGGGGTCTGTTCGCGGGTTGGCGCTACCGGACGGCAGTAACAGAACCACAGTCGGTCTGTCGCATCCGAAGCTGGAAGCTTCAAGAAGCGGATACTAGGGACAAATATCATGTGAGGGTAGCCGAAAAGCTTGACACCATCGATGGCAGAAACGAATGTGTAGAAAGAACATGGCAGAACCTTAGGGATGGAATGGTAAGTACAGCGGAAGAAGTGTGTGGAACAATAAAAAGAGGCAGTAGTAAAAGAAGAGATGCATGGTGGAATGATGAAGTGAAAGAAGCTGTAAAGAAGAAGAAGAAAGCATGATTAGACTACTTGGCCTCTAGTAATGATAAGAATATGAGAGAGAAGATGAAAGAAAGATATAGGCTGCAGAAAATTCACACGAAAGCATTGATTGAGGAAGTGCGTGAAAGGTGTAGAATGGAAGCGGACAAAAGGTTGTCGCACAACTTTAAGGAGAACTCCAAACTCTTCTGGAAAGAGGTTGGAAGGACCCGAAGTGGTGCGACGGCCTTAAGAATGAACAAAGTGCTTTCGAGAACTAATGACGTCCTCTCAGAAAAATCGGACGTCATGCAGCGATGGAGCAAATTTTATAGAGAAATGTATGCGTGTGATGATCTTAGTGAGGGCTCCGGGGATGACGCGGTGACTGGTACGCCAGACCCGGACCTCGATGACACTGAGGTCATCAGTATGAAAGAGATTGAACGTGCGATTCGAAGTTTGAAATGTGGTATGGCTGCGGGACTAGACAGAGTTACTGCTGAAATGGTCAAGTATGGTGGGCCTCGCGTCTGGGACAGCTTTCATCTGCTGTGCAATTTGTGCTGGCGGACGGGGGATGTCCCGGATGATTGGCGATCCGCAGTCATTGTGCCTTTATATAAAGGTAAAGGTTCACATTTTGACTGCGGGTGCTATCGGGCGATCAGCTTGACCAGTTTAGCAAGTAAAGTTTACTCGAAGGTTTTGACACGTAGGATGCAAGAGAAATCGGAAAGATTTCTATGGGAGGCACAATGCGGATTTAGACTGGAAGAGGATGCACGGATCAAATGTTTTCTCTCCGCATGATCACGGAAAAGCTTCTGGCTGCTAACCAGAAGATTTTCTGTGCTTTTGTGGATCTTGAGAAAGCATTTGATAAGGTTGTAAGGAAGAAAATGTGGGAACTGTTGCCGGGGTATGGTGTGGATGGTCGATTGCTAAGGGCTGTGCAGTCTCTTTACTGTGACTGTAAAGCCTGTGTGCGGGTAGGGCATGACCCGTCACCCATGTTTAGCGTCCAAACGGGCGTAAAACAGGGTTGTGTCATGTCTTCCTGGCTGTTCATACTGTATCTCGACAGCTGTTTACAGAAGCTGAAAGATAGCTGTTTGGGTGTGAAATTGGGTGACATAAAAGTAAATTGTCTGCTGTATGCTGATGATGCAGTGCTTATTGCACCATCAGAGGCAGAACTGCAGGCATTAGTCACGTGTATGAAAGAGGAATGTGAAATTAAAGGTCTCCGTTTGAATGCTAATAAAACTAAGGTTCTGGTATTTGAAAGGGACGAAGAGAGAACAAAGTAAGAAATATGGGTAAATCAGGAATGTCTAGAACAGGTAAATAAAATTGTATACTTGGGGAGTGCTTTTAGCCGGGATGGAAGATGTGATTTAGATGTGGACAGGCGTGTCGCTGCCGGGAACAAAGTCAATGGTGCCCTCACTGCGTTAGTCAAAAGGCAAGGCGTAGTGAAGAGTGCACGCCTTGCAATACATAACGCAGTGTTGGTACCGACTTTGTTATATGGCAGCGAAACCTGGGTATGCCAGAAGAAGCATAAAAGCAAGTTGAATGCAGTGGAAATGCGATCTCTTCGTAAAATGTGCGGCGTTACCATGGCCGACCGAAAGCGAAACGAAGAGATTCGCAATATGGCAGGTTTGAAAGATGACCTTATCACAAAAATTGATAAGGGCGTGCTTCGGTGGTTTGGGCATGTTGAGCGAATGAGTGAAGACCGAATGATGAAGAAAATATATAGCGCGAAAGTTAATATTAAAAGGTGTCGAGGTAGACCGAGACTAACTTTCGAAGACCATGTGAGCAACTTGCTCGAAGAGGGTAGGGTCAAGAGTACTCGGATACCTAGACGTGCATGTATGAAGAAGATAATGAATCTGAAAGAAGCGAAAGAGGTATGTAAGGATCGTGACACTTGGCGATCTGTTCTCTGTGGCTACCCCGTCAGGGATTGTGCGTGAAGATAAGTTAAGTTAAGTTAAGTTAAGAAACAGTAGAAGTTAAGTCATGTAATATACCAATATACCATCACAGTTTAAAGCTTTCTTTAGAATAGAATAGAATGATTTTTATTCAATATGGATTATTACACTCAAGTAAGTATGACTTCCATTTCGCTCAAATAAAACAGCTGTGGGTCGAGGGAATTTGTTGGATTTTCAATTAGGAGGACTTTCAGTCTCTTCGATTTCAGTATCACTATAAAGTGCCTACATAGGTCAAAGTTTCAGTTTCACTTTTATAGGTATAT